ATCAACTTATTAGTAAATTATATGAAAATGTAGAAACATTTGTTTTGAAATTGAAACTTCTCAAACAACAATTAAGTCAAAAATCACTTATCCATTTTAAAAACATTTTCAGAAAGAAATACCAACACAGTTGACTATGAAAAATATTGTAATCTTATTTTAAAAGTAATTGATGAATTTGACACAAGATTTTGTGATTTTAAAGAAGAAAAGAATGAGTTAGACTTATTTTCACATCCATTTTCCATTAAAGTTGAGACAGTAAGAGATGAATTTCAAATGGAATTAATAGAACTACAAAACAATAAAGATTTGAAAGATGCTTACAAAGATGTTGAATTGTTAGAACTTTATAAAAAATACATGAACATTGAAGTTTATCCACATTTGTGCAAACACGCTATGAAATACTTTTCCCTTTTTGGAAGCACATACATCTGTGAACAATTTTTTTCAAGAATGAAACATGTTAAATCAGAGCAGAGACATAGGTTGAAAGATGAACACCTCACTGATACACTTCGGATTTCATCGTCCACTATAAAAGCTGACATTGATCAATTGTGTAAAAATAAACAATGCCAAGTTTCCCATTAAATACATTTTTTTTGACAATATTGAAATGGAATTAGTTGTTTTAAATTAGAAGTTTAAACAAAATGATTTTTCTTAATTTGTGGCTCTCGTGTTGTCATCAAAATAAAATAATGGCCCAGGCTGTAAAAAGGTTGGACAACCCTGGTATAGATTGCAAAAAAGTGTTGTGTTATTGAGTCAATTTTAAAATTGAAATCGTTTAATGAAAAACATTTTTATTGTCAATTTTGGTAGTTTTTTGAGTTGAAGTATTAAGAGACAGATTTTAATGAAAAATACTTTCCAAATTGCGACATAAATTGGGAAATATTAAATAAAATATGTTTTTTAATGTGCGCTGCAACTCATTGACAATTTTAATCATCATCTGTTTTGAATATTGACATAAAACATTAATTATTGCTTTGAAAATAAAAAGCTGTCTGATGTGTAAATTTGATGTGTAAATTCTATAAATATTTTTCAACTAAAAATTAAAGAATTTGGCAAATATCTTTGATTGATGTCATTTACCAAAGTTATTTTTTAATTTAAACTTTAGGAATTTATAAAATATCATTTCGATAGGAGAACAAAAACATCATAGTGATAAATGGCTTAGATAAACTAGAAAAAAGTTCACATTGTTTACATAAAAAGAAAAAAGATTCAGAATATATAATAAGGTAATCAACGTCTTCTTTATATATTTATCATATTTAAGAGTGTATTACAAAAATCTTAATTTTATTTGGTTCTTGCTCTCTATAAAAAAACATTCTTTTGTTTAGCTTCCTATAAAATTTATAAAAAGTCATACAATTGATGATAAACACTTATTTTAAAAAACAAAACAAAAACAAATAATATGGATTAAAAAAAAAAAAAATTTTTTTTGAAAGAAAAAAAAAAATCCTATAATGACGTCATAAATTATAACTATTTGGAATTAAACACGCTTGAATAAATTCTATTCTGTAGATTGCGGCGTATATTTTAAAGATTTAAAGTAAACTGAATAACATGGAGATAGCAAGCTATGAGTATAACAACAAGGTTATGAGTATAACAACTTGTCTCGGTACTTTGGGATCCCTTTAATTTTTTAAAGCACTTAAAAATGTACTTAATAATGATCACTTATTTATAGCCGCTTAAACGTAACTGCTCAAATATTTTTTCTGCTCTTGAAGAAGTTTTTCGAGAAAGGTAAGAATTCTAAAAATATGGTTAAATATTTACTATGAATTCAGTTAAGTTTTTATATTGTTATATAAGTTTTTATTCTTAAATCAGTTATTTTATTGTACATATTTATTGTAAGCTTTTGTTAAAACTTTTTTTAATTAAAAAAATGTTTAGTTTTTATTCCAATTTTAACAGGAAAAAAGGCTGATAATAACGCGTTTAATAATTTTTTCTGATAATGTTAGTCACTCCTAGATTAGATTCAAACTAAATAAAATTTTTTATATAAGTAGTTTAAATAACAACCATCTCAGCCGATAAATGGCTAAGAAAATTACTAACACAAAAAAAAAAAAAAAAAGATTATATAGCAAAGTCTATTTTTCAGTTTTTATTGTATTAAAACTTGTTCATGTATATTTGTTCAGTTTCGTAAATATTATTTGAAGTTAAAATTAACAAAAATTTTACATTTGTATTTAAATTTATTGTTAATGCTAATTTTTGGAATGTATTTTGTAAATAAATTACATATATGAATGCAAATCACATGCTTAATTATTATCACTTATTACTCATTGATCTGTGAATAAGCACATAGGAATGTGAATAAAAATGTCTAGACATTTTGTTTCCAAATAAATATAACTAATCTTTAAATATTTTTTTGAATTAAAAAGTTTTGTGAAGAATTGCCTTATACAAAATGTACTTGCAGAACTGATATTAAAGTAGTATATTGATGAAAGAATAATTTATTAAGATTTTTTGAAAGTTAGTGTCAAGAAATTCGTTTGCGCAATTTAAGCTAATAATTTTTTTCTTTTTAAGTTTATTAAATTATTTATTAAATAAATCTATGAAATACATAAAGTTAGAGTAATTAATATAATAACTTAATTAGTTCTAGTTATGATCTCTGTTTTCTTTCCATTTTACAAAATCTAAATTATAGCTGTTTCCTAATGATTTTTTTTTTTATTTATCTCAGAGGTAACAACGAGCTAAAAGATAAAATAGTGCAGTGTTACGCTTCTGTTGGCCATGTGCTTGGAATTGACTGTGATAAGTAAGTGACTGCATATAATAATATGTTTTAAACTAATAGTAATAATAATAATGATAATAATAATAATAATAATAATAATAATAATAATAATAATAATAATAATAATAATAATAATAATAGTACTAATAATAATAATATGTATATATATATATATATATATATATATATATATATATATATATATATATATATATATATATATATATATATATATATATATATATATATATATATATATATATATATATATATATATATATATACACGTATGAGGAAATTGGTATAAGGAAATTCATAAGGAGCACAAAGCAGCATGTAAAAGACTCAGCAAGATGGTGAAAGCAGCAGCAGTTGACTATGAGAGGAAGATTGCAGCACATTTCAACTATGCCCAAAACAACTTTATAACCAAGTTAATCATAAGCAAATGGAAAATGAAATCCCTCGAAAATGATGCAGGAAAAATAACTACAAGTATGCAAGAAATTTCACGTTCACTTAATAACTATTTTCAGTCTGCATTTCTTGTTAAGCCTCTAAATCAAATGCCAAACTTCAGAGATCAAACCCAAGCAAAGTACAATTTAAATGAAGCTACAATTATGCGTGCAGCTGTCCAGCAAAAACTTGAAAAACTAATCGAAACAAAATCTAAAGGTTATGATGGAAAGCACCCTCATGTACTTCGCAATTGTGTTGCTGCAATCTCCATACCAATAGCAATGATCGACTCCAAGTCCCTCTCTGAAGGCAAAGTAACCAATCTATGGAAACTGTCAAATATAACACCAATCTTCAAGACCGGTAGCAAAAGGAAGTGCTCAAACTACAGACCAATATCACAAACATCAGTACCATGCAAGATAATGGAGAGCTTCATTCATGAGCAAATCATTAAGCACTGCTATAACAATGGTCTATTCACAAAAGCTCAACACGGTTTTTTACCTAAGCAGGGCTGTGTGTCTAAGCTACTAATATCTTGCGACATTCTGGCGGATGTAGTACATCATGGCTATGCCATAGACGTGATATACACTGATTTTGCGAAAGCCTTCAACAAAATACCGTTGTAAACCAGTTGAGCTTGAGCAACATATAAAATGAGCCGAGCCCAAACAATACTAATCCTTAACGAGCTGAGCTCGAACAAAGAATCTCATGTTCGAAATGAGCTCAAGCCGAGCCTGAACACTCTTAATATGTAAACGAGCCCAGCCGAACCCTGGCAAGCTTGGCTCGTTCAGCTTGATTTACAGGCCTAGCTGTAGAATGGTCCAAAAAGTGGCTATTACTATTTAACTTGAACAAATGCAAATGCATGCATGTAGGTCGCTCCAACAAATCAGTCTATGTCTACACAATGGCTGATCAGATGGGAATAAGAAAGAACTGGATACGAATTATAGTCAAATGAGATCTAGGTGTTCTTATTTCAGAAGACTTAAAATTTAAGCATCAAGTTGAAGCAGCGGATGCAAGAGCAAACCAGGTACTTGGTCGGCCTAAGAAATTCTTCAGAAGCCGAGATCTCACACTTTGAAAAGTTTTTTAAAAATCATGTTAGACCACACCTTGAATTCGCCATCCAATTATGGTTGCCACATCTGACGGGCGACATCAAGGCTCTCGAAAGCATTCAAAAACGTGGGACAAAGCTGATCACAGACATCAAACATAAATCATAGGAAGAAAGACTTACGATTCTAGGACTAACCAAACTAGAAGAAAGACAAGTTAGGAATGATTTAATTCAGCAATATAAGATTGCGCATGATATTGAGAAAATCGAATTTGTTGTACCTCAAGTTTACGCGCAAACGCTTTCCCAGTATAACCTTTGTGTTAATAGCTTAAGACTTACTAAGCCGATAGTCAAGAACTGTGTCGAAAGAGAAAAGTTCTTCACAAACTGCGTAGTCAACGCATGGAATGCTTTACCATCAAACGTTGTTAACGCCTTTTCAACTGATGCGCTCAAAGTTCCATTCAACGCATTAACAGTATAAGTGTAGACACATTGTGTGTCCGATATTTGTCAGCATGGAGGTTCCTGGTGCTGCACCTCTTCATCGATATATAATAAACATTTTATTCTTCATGGACTAAAATTGTTATAAATATTGTTGATTTCTGAATGAACAAATTTAAAAAAATTAATATATAT